TATATTTGTTGAGTATATTGTGTACGTGTATATTTGTGTGTAGGGCCCATCTCCTGTTTCCTTTGTATAGTTGAGATTGTGGCCCACCTCTGTACTTATATATACGTGCCTGGTGCACCGATCAATACATCGAGATTGCACAGCCCATATCTTATCCTTCTACATGGTATCTATCGCAGCACGATCCTAAACCCTAAGCCGCCGCCGCCGCTTCGCTTCCGCTCCATCTCACCGCTGCCGCACCATCCCGCGTTGCTTGCTCCATCGCTCCAGCCGCCCGACCTCGCTCCTGCCGCCAGCTAGCTCCATCGCCACGCCGCTCCTGTCCCGCCGCTTCTGACCTGCTGCCTCGCTTCAGCCACTAGTCCCTCGCTCCAGTCGCTAGTCCCGCCCGCCTCGCTCCAGCCGCTAGTCCCGCTGCTTCGTCCCGCACCGCTGCTCTCGCCAAAAACCATTGCCAGGCCGCACCTGCAACGCCGCTTCGTCCCTGTCACGCCGCGCCGCATCACACGCATCGCCACGCCGCGTCTCTTTCTGCACTTCCCGCGCCACATCGCTCCTCGCAACCCTATCCCTAGTCATGAGTTCCTCCTCCTCCACCGTCTCCAACCTGTTCGCCGGTCCCGATGTCACTCTCGTCCGCGACCTCAACATCCACGAGCACGTCCCGGTGAAACTTGATCAATCCACCGCCTCCTACTCCGCTTGGAAGCGGTATTTTTCGCTGGTGTTTCGCGAGTACCTCCTTCATGGCCACGTTGACGGCACCTTGGACTCGGCCCTCATGATCCATGACGAGGAGTGGATGATTCTTGACGCCACCATCATCCGCTGGTTCTACCTCACCATCTCCACCGACCTCTTCCACACGTTGGTGGATGACGACGACGATGCACACGCGGTCTGGACCAAGCTCAACGGCCTCTTCACAGACAACCGGCTGCAGCGCAAGGTCCTGCTCTATGGTGAGTTTTACGGGTGCCAGCAACTTGACTCATCCATCGATGATTTTTGCATGCGCCTCAAGAAGCTCGCCTATGAGCTCCGTGATCTCGGGGAGAAGATCGGCGACGAGCTCCTCATCAACACCCTCTCCGGCGGCCTCAACGAGGATTTTGGGAACGCCGCCTCCAATCTCACCCTCATCCCGGAGCCTACCTTCGCTAAGGTGGTCGCGTACCTCAAGTTGGAGGAGCGCCAAATGCGGGTGGCGCGGACTCGCGCGACCCACACCGCCCTCGTCGCCGGCACCCGCGGGGGTCCAGCCCCGCCACCGCCGCGCCCAACGCCGCCACAGCCGGCGGCGCCCGCCTTCCCGCTAGGTTTCCTGCCCGCCCCGGCCGCCCCCTTCCCGCCGCCCCAGCCGGCGGCCAATGGGAGGGGTCGTCGCGGCGGTCGTCGTGGTGGCCGCAAGCAGGGGGGCGCAAGCGCTCAGGGAGGAGCACCCCGCCCACCGCAGCAGGCTTATCAGCCGGCCCCGTGGTACGCCGGCCAGAACCCATGGACCGGCGTTGTGCACGCCTACTCCATGCCGGTTCCTCGGGCCCCTGCCCCGGGCATTCTCAGCGCCCGGCCACAGCCGCACCAGGCGTTCTACGCCGCGCCCTACGCGGCGCCCTACGGCCAACAGCCGCAGCCAGCTGGGCCGCCGCCGCTGCCCCTGACGGCCGCGCCACCTCTTCCGCCGGCGCCGTGGGACCCGGCCCTTCTGGCGGCTCTTCACACCGCTCCCTCCCCGTCCAGCTACACCGGCGGTGGCGACTGGTACATGGACACCGGAGCCACCGCCCACATGGCGGCCTATCCCGGTAACCTCCACACCTCCTATCCTGTCCATACTTCCAACCGCATCACCGTCGGTGACGGCTCCTCTCTCCCTATCACCCATATAGGTCACGCATATTTTCCGTCTAACTCCACTCCAATATCCATGTCTAATGTCCTAGTTTCTCGTGAACTTATCAAAAATCTTGTTTCTGTTCGTTCTCTTACACGTGAAAATCCGGTTACCGTTGAATTCGACGCATGTGGTTTTTCTGTTAAGGACGCTCGCACGCGGATGGTGCTCCACCGATGTGACAGCCCCGACGAGCTCTACCCGGTTCACTCCTCCACCTCCACCACTTTCGCCGCCCCTGTCGCTCTTGCCACCGGAGTGGATCTTTGGCATGCCCGCTTGGGTCATCCTAATCCTGCCACTCTTCTTCACATACTTCGGAGTTTTTCTTTCACGTGTAATAAGAACGAGGATCACTCGTGTCATGCGTGTCGCCTCGGCAAACATGCTTATCTTCCGTTTAGGGCTTCTTCTTTTGTTGCATCGTACCCATTTGAGTTAATTCATAGTGATGTTTGGACCTCTCCTGTTGCCAGTAATACGGGCTTTCTTTATTATCTTGTCATACTTGATGATTTTTCGCATTATGTGTGGACCTTCCCATTGCGCCGCAAGTCGGATGTTATATCCACTCTCGCCGCTTTCTACTCCTATGTTCTCACGCAGTTTGGTCGTCCCATTCTCGCGTTGCAAACAGACAACGGGAAGGAGTTTGACAACCTCGCTGTTCGTAATCTTCTCATCACACATGGCATGATTTTTTGTCTCACTTGCCCGTACACCTCGCAGCAGAACGGTCGTGCTGAGCGCATCCTTCGCACTCTCAATGACTGCGTTAGGACTCTCCTCTTTCATGCTAATGTGCCTCCGCACTTTTGGCCTGACGCTCTCGCCACCGCGTCTCTCCTCATCAACATCCGCCCATGTCGTACTCGCGGGAACTTTACACCTCATCATCTTCTCTTCGGTGCACCCCCCTCTTATGATGGATTTCGCATCTTCGGCTGCCTTTGCTACCCTAGCATCGCCGCTACTGCGCCTCATAAGCTTGCACCCCGCTCCGTCGCCTGCATCTTTCTCGGCTACCCACCTAACACTAAGGGCTACCGCTGCTATGATCCCGTCTCCCATCGTGTTTTCACCTCCCGACACGTTTACTTTGATGAGATGGTGTTTCCATTTCAGCAGCAGGTACCTCCTATCGCCTCGTCACCGCCGGCCACCGGCGGCTCTTCGGCGACTCCGTCAGGCGGACGGTCTCGTTCGGCCCGTGGACCGCCTTTGGGCTTTGGCGGTCCTCGCGCCCTCACGTCGGCGCCGGCCCCCTCGGCCTCCTCGGCCGACCCTCCCGGCGCAGCTAGCATCCCTTCTTCACCCGCCGCCCCCGACTCGGGCGCCGCGGGGTCGGGCGCTGCTGGCTCAGCCGCTTCTTCAGCCGCCTTGACGCCGGCCTCCTCGCCGGCTCCGACACCGGCCTCTTCGGCGGCTTCGACGCCGGCAACCTCGCCGGCCCTGACACCGGCCTCCTCGCCGGCTCCGATGCCGGCTGGCTCGCCGGCCCCGACACCGGCCTCTTCGCCAGCTGCCTCGCCGGCCGCCTCGCCGGCTGCCTCGCCGGTGGCTCTGACGGCGCCGGCTGGTCCAGTTACACGGGCTCGTACCGACGTTCATCGTCCGAGCCTCCGGTACTCGAGCGACGAGTATGTCCTCGCAGCCTCCACCGCGGAGCCGTCGCCTCTTCCTGCGTCCGTTCGCGCCGCCCTCCGTGATCCTCACTGGCTTGCGTCGATGCAGGAAGAGTTCGATGCTCTTCTACGGAACCGCACCTGGACACTGGTTCCCCGGCCTCCTCGCGCCAACGCATCACCGGCAAGTGGGTCTTTCGCCATAAGACCCGCTCGGATGGTA